GGCGTCAAGCTCGTGCGGGTGCGGCAGGACGAGCCGCTCACTAAGGGCGTGCTGAGGGTCTTGACGCACAATCATGATGCGGGGCTGGAAGAGGTCGTGCAGGATCCCACGGAGGCCATCGCGGACGCGGAGGACACGGAGAGGATAGGGCCGCCGCCGCCTTCACCGCCCGCGAGCGAGGGTCACGAGAGCATGCCCATCCCCATCCCGCGCAGCGCCTCGCCACAGCCCATCGACGCCAGCATACCGCTCTCGACATCTCCCGAGGCTGTGGGTAGTTTGTTAACAAACCCTAATCCGAGTGCGAGCGAGAAGGGCAGCGCGCCTCCGCCCAGCGCATGGGCGCCCGCGAGACCAGGGCACGCGAACAGCGACAGCGCTGCGAGCGTGACGTTCGACCTGCCCGCTCACCCGCGTGGCTCCTCATCATCCTACGCCACATCATCGGCAAACCCGAAACACAGCAGTCTGAACGCACACCCGCGGCACGCTAGCGAGCCCGACGACTCGCCGACACAGCCCAGGTTGGGAAGGTGGAATACGACCGGTGGTACACATACGGGTACGGGGAAGGAGGCGGCGAGGGACGCTTGTAGGGATGGACGTGGTACGGCTGGAGCGGCTGGAGCTGCGGGGAGGACGATGAGTATGAGGAGTCTAGCTGGCGACGAGGAGGATGGCGTTCCGGCTGCGCTTGCGGACGATATCCAGGCGCAGGCAGACCAGATACGCCGGGAGAGGCACTCGAAGAGGTTACGAGGCGAGGGTGCTGGTACGTTTATCCTTACTTGTCGTCTACATACATTTGCTCATTTGATCACGTCACAGCGGGAAGTACGTCGGACGAAAAGGCGGACAAGGTCGCCGTCGGCAACGTCATTGGCGAAGGCCACGCCAACTACGTACTCATGTACAACATGCTCACCGGCATCCGTATCGCCGTCTCAAGATGTCAAGCCAAGATCGCCAGAGCCCTCACACCCGAAGACTTCAACGCCGCGCACAAATATTCCTTCGATATGTACGTGCTCTACTCTTACACCCTACACCGCCACCGGTACTAACTGAGACTGCGTCGAACAGAATCGGCAACGAACTCACGCCTTCGGCCAAGTACGACTTCAAGTTCAAGGACTACGCCCCCTTCGTCTTCCGCGACTTGCGCGAACGCCACTTCAGGCTCGACCCGGCCGACTACCTCCTGAGCCTTACAGCGAAATACATCCTCAGCGAGCTGGGCAGCCCTGGTAAGCCTCCCTATCCTATTCTCGCTTATCGTGGCGTATTCTTGGAACGCGGCTGGGATGTGTTTATGTGCTTCTGGCCGGGGAGGGCCATCCGTTGTCCTCATCCGGCAGGCGGTTGGGTTCTTGCCGTCGGAACTGTGCGCGCCCGATCGGGATGGTGTGGGCGCTCGATGTACTGTTGGACAGTCGGACACGTTCGCAGATTGCGGATAGCGCTTTGAGTTTGGACGTGTGGGCCGCGGGAGAAGTACTCGCGTGGCCTCGCTACCGACACGCCGTCCCATTCTAGTCATTGCCCTTCCCAACTCGAGAGCATGAGCGTTAACGCCCCCTCTTCGCTGTGAACAGGCAAATCCGGCTCGTTCTTCTACTTCTCGCGCGACTACCGCTTCATCATCAAGACGATCCACCACACTGAGCATACATACCTCCGCCGGATTTTGCCGCGGTACTACGAGCATGTCAAGAATAACCCGCATACGCTCGTTAGTAGGTTCTATGGGCTGCATCGGGTCAAGCTGCCGCGGTACGCGCTCCACTATGGACCCATTCAGAATGAGTAGGCGATGCTCACTTATGTTCGCAGCGGTCGCAAGATCCACTTCGTCATCATGAACAACCTCTTCCCGGCGCATAAGGATATCCACGAGACGTACGATCTCAAGGGATCGACCGTCGGACGGCTGTACCCCGAAGACCGTGCGCGCGCGAATCCGCGCGCTGTGCTCAAAGTGCGTCTCTTTCTCCTCTTCATATCGAGGATTGCAGGTGTTAATGCGGATATTGTGCGTAGGACCTGAACTGGATCTCTCGCGGCAAAAGCATCGAGCTCGGCCCCGAGAAACGCGCGCTCCTGACCGAGCAGCTGCGCCGCGACGCGGCCTTCCTGCGCGAAGTCGGCGTCATGGACTACTCGCTCCTCATCGGGATCCACAAGCTCGAGCGCGGGAACCGCGACAACGTCCGGCGCAACACGCTCAAGGTGTTCTCGCCGGACGTGCCGCCGCGCGACGGGCAGGCCGTGCGGAGGCTGATGCGGACTGCGCCGGCTGTGGCGAGTCTGCCTGATCATCTTGCCGCGAGCCCGGGCGCGCAGAGTTTGTTCTACCAGGACGAGGGCGGGTTGCGCGCGACGGACGAGAGGAATAAGGATCTGAATACGATCTATTACCTTGGCGTCATCGATATTTTGACGCCGTTTCGGTTCGCGAAGAAGGTCGAGGGCGTGTGGAAGGGGCTTCGTGCCGACCGCGTATGTCCATCTCCTTCCGTAGACCACTTGGCCGTTGCTGATGACAAGCTTGACTACAGCACAAGATCTCGCCGGTCCCGCCAGACGAGTACGCAGACCGCTTCGTGGCGTTCATGAAAGCCGTCATGCGCGGCGGAGGCGGCGCAACAGCCTTCGTAGCGTCATCCGACGTTGGCCTCCTCCAACACCAACCCTCCGAATCGTCCGCCGATCCCTCTCCTATCTCGCCCGACGAGCCGCCCATTACACCTGGGCACGACGAGCAACAGAGTATAGGCGGCGGAAGGGCCGATGGGCGGCGCAGGACGAGCGCGGGGAGCAGGGCGAGCAGGCGGAGCGGGGACGGGAGCAGTAGTGGGCGGCGGAGCGGCGAGGGTGCGCTTGCGAGTCCGCGGGGCGCGGCGGGCGCGAGGGGAGGGTTCGGCGGGATGAGAGAGCCTGCGGATCCGAGGGGCGGGTATGGCGAGGTTGCCGCTGCTGCTATGGCCACGGGCGCGCCTATGCCCGATAATATGACGCACGGCAATGGCGCGGCGCATCCGAATGGGCATAAGGGGTTCGAGAAGCTGCATGGGGAGAGGATGCCGAGCGGGGATGGGTTGCTGGGGAATGGGTATGGGAATGGCGATGCGGAGGTGTTTACGAGCGGGGCGAATGTGAGGAGCGGGGCGCATTGGAAGGCGGATGGGCCGCAGAGGAGGGAGTATATCCGCCGGTGGTCATGATCGCCTCGCAGCCCTCTCTCAGCCCGATCCAGCGCAACGCAACGCATCGTGTTCTGCGTCGCCAGCGCACACTCGAGCTACTCGGCCGCCCCATCTCGTCTGGACCATGATCAGGATAGGACGCGTACGGACGCTCCAACATTACGCTTTTATTCACGATACCAACTCATGAACCCTTACCGTACCCTCGTCGCTTGTTACTCTGCACATCGCATTTTGATACCCACTGCGCATAGTTCCTCGCCTGCTCGTCGCATACTAGGTATATAACATAGTCTCGTACGGCCCCTCGCATCTCATACGCGCCTCGAACTTCTCGATCTCCGCATGTCGCCACGCTCTTTTCATATCGCCGCACAGCCTATGCCACATCCTCTCGCCCATCATCAGCTCTATGCCTACACCTCACTCCGCACCGTGCCATCTGCATTCTGCTGTATCATCTCCACTCCGCTCTCCCCGTTTCTCTCAGCTGCTCTCATTCGCGTATCATCGCGCGCCTCACGCTCCTTCATCTCATCCCGGATCCCCTTCTCATTTCCCCTCGTCTTCATCTATCCCACGCTCCTTCCTCATAGGTTTCTCGCTCACCTGGACTTCTCTTCTACCTGGCCCTCGCTCCCGCTCCTGCCCCGCTTCGTCATCCTTCGCTCTTTTTATCTTTCTCACTGCTCGTCGGACGCGGAATTTGCGGTTGATCTGTCGTATATATTTTACAGTATGGTTCGAATACTTAGTCATTTACTCTACTGATGTTGTGCGGACAGGCGTGTGAGCGCGGGCGGGGATGGTAAGTGCTGAGGGGGTATACTACACTGTGCATAGAGGCTGGAAGCGCCGAGAGGCTAGTCTCGTTACGAGGCCGCTGCCGCAAGAGTTTGAGAGGGGGGTTTTCTCTGCGCCAGCGGGTGCTCGCCCCCTCACGCTCAGATCGCGGACTGGTTACGAGGCTACCGAGAGGCAACCTTAACCCTGTGACGATAGAACGTCCAGGTGGCTGCCGCGTCGCCACATCGCCGAAGCGTGTCTCGCTTTGATTTGCCTCTAACTTCCATCCAGTTGGCAACCCGGCTCCCTCTTAGTACCATCTATCTTGCTCTGGAAGCCTACTTAGTGCGTCAGGGGTTTGTAGACGCCATCGTCTCTGCATCGCTAATGTCGAATTAGCCACACAACGACGCGATTGATTGTTCATGGTGCTCGGCCAGTGCCCCGGGGACGGTGGGCGATGCGGTACCTGCTCAACAAGTTGTGATAGAGGGCGTGGCTTGATGGCGCCTGGTACGTACCACTCATCATGTATCACGCCCCAGGTACTGACAGTACCATACGTAGGTACAAGGCAATAGCAAGACCGGTGATAGAATTCAACGGCTCGATGATAATCATCCAGCGGTAGTCGACTCTCGCTGCTTCTATACACGTGAAGACTCTATTGCGCCTGTACGGCTCTATGTACTCTGGTGGATGCTTTTCGTGAGTGTGCGAGTCATCTATCTGTATCACCATCTAACTCGCGCTTTGCAGCTTCGCGCATACGTATCCATATTCTCTACTCATCATGGTCACCTCGCGCTTTCGAGCCGCCGAAAGTCTATCTGTGCTATGCACGGGCTTCTCCGAAGCTTTTCTCATTGGCAAAACGATATCTGGTCGTCATCGGCCTTACTTCGAGGCGAGCGATGGTACATATAAAGCACTTGCACAAGCCTGAAGACCGCCAGCAATTCTCAACTCAACACCATGGTCCCTGTCGATCCGACATATCCTCTCCACCCTGTGGTTTGCATCGTGTCTTCAGCAATGCTGGTGCTTGTTCTCCTTACCAGCTTCATCCGTCAAAGCTGGAACCTTGGCGTCGCATTCCTTTGCTTCTGGGTCTTACTCGAGAATCTCACCCTGGGCGTGAATGGCATCATATGGGCCGACAACTATGACGTCAGACTGTATGTCTACTGTGACATTGGTGCGTAACTTTGCGACATGAGTGCGCACAGGCGTACGAGTTACTCACAATCGGACACTAGTCTCGCATGTGCAAACCATCACATTCACTGCCAAGTCATTGGCGACGTTGATCATCACTCGCCGGCTGCATTTGATCACCAGTCTACAATCAGTGGAACTCCCTGACAAGGCGGCGGTACGCCTCAGCGCTCCAACAATCTCTTTCTTCTTCGTGGCTGACATAGCTCGCAGAAACGTAGGAACCTCGCTATTGAGTGGACGCTGGGGTTGGTGATTCCTGTCATCGTCGCCGGACCCCTCTGTACGTTCCTTCGGTGACATGAGCTTGAAAACTATACTCAAATGATTATAGATACCATAGTCCAGCAACTTCGCTTCGAGGTAAACGAGGGCTTCGGATGCGGTAACTCCATCGACGGGTCGATACTCAGCATCTTACTTCTTCCCTCTTGGCCAGTCATTGCGCCTCTGATGTCTATCATCCTGTACTATCGTACGTCAAGCTGCTACTACAGTCATTCACAAGCTGACGCTCAACGATCCTGCCCTTCTTAGCCCACGTCGTCAAGACCTTGTATCGGCAGAATAGGGATATCAACCACTTCCTGCGGAGCAACAGCTCGGTGTCCCGCACCAACTACCTTCGCATCGTGGCCCTCGCGAGCATCGACATCCTGCTTACCTTACCCATTGGCATAGCGACCATTATACTGACCATCACGGAGGCGTTGGATCTTGGTCCTATACCATTCTATTACGGTTGGACTCGCGACCGAACTGGGAGCAAAGTTGCGGTGGGAGTTTCATATGCAGACCTGGTAGCCTCTGGTAGATCCACTGTTGTGCAGATCTACTTCCAGCAGTGGGTCTCCTCTGTTCTGGCAATCACCATCTTTTGTCTCTTCGGCGTCACTTCGGAAGCCCGCGCGTCGTACTGGCGCACCATCTGCGCCGTCGGCGGCTGGTTCGGCTGGAAACCGACACCTCGTGTGCGCGGGGCCCGCTCGCCGCTTGGGGACATCGGATTGAACGAACGTAACGCCCATCACTCTATATCCTTGGGTCTCGAGTATGTGGCGTCTCTTTCTTGGGAGGAGCTCTGCTAACTGCAGGCCTTCAGATCATATCCGAGCTACGTCGATCCCAATGTACGCATGCCGAAGTCTGAACCGGGTGGAGCGGGAGTCCAGCCGGGCAAGCAAGCAAGCGAGGCAGTGCGTCGGGCAGACAGCTTCACATCGTATGTCACTACGCGTGTATCTCTTGCGCGTAATCAGGCTGAGCCAGGTAAATGCGACGAACAGAGGCGCAGAACATCCCATCCAATGCCTGGGTGAAACACGCCGCCCGCGTGACGATGATGCTAGTGTGGCGAGCGCGGCGTGAATGATTGACCGCATTGGGTAGACTCGCGTTTCACTTCGCTACAGTACGGCGCTCACGGTGTACGGTTCCTGAACATCTTCCTCCCCGCGAACTCCTCCATGCGTGTACGAGCTCTATGCATTTCACCCTTTCACTCTTGGCGCTCGATCTTCCGCCATCAGCACCTTCTGCGCGTTCAAATACCGTACTATTCTCCCTCATCCCTTCGTTTCCGCGAACACGCTCCTTTCGAATATCTCGTCTTCTCACCCTCGCCGCCTCCATACATCTATTCGGACTTTTGTGAATCCCTTGCCTTGTCTCTCGCACCTTGCTCCATCATTTTCCTCGAATACTCTCGTTCATACTTCTAGCGAATAACGTTGATGCGACCATGAATCTGAGACCGTGATCTAATTCGTCACCGGTTGTATAATGCGTATGGACTGTCCTACTGGGGTCTCGGCTCTTCCACCAGGGTCATGGCTGGTCAGAGCGTCTGCGACACCGAGGCTAATGATTCGCCCCTTGTAGTGTCGGATCGCAGATATCTTCTAGTACTGTATGTTCTTTCATGCACAACGTATACATGTGATGGTTCTTGGGAGGAAACGTGCCAAGAGAGTCGAAAGCTGGATCAGGACAAGGCCTGCGACCGGCTTTAGACATGGCGATTGCGTAACCCTAACCCTAGCAAACCCAGTCCTCGTGTCGCGGCCCGCGCCGCGAACCGCCGTCTTGCCTCTGCCTGTCACCTCTCGTCAGCCTGTGGCTCCCAGTTTTCGCTACCGCTGAGAGCGTACAACCTGTCTTCCACTTGAAATCGCTCATCTGACAGACGGGTGACGCTAGATCATCCAGTACTCTACTGCTTCGGCGCTGGTCGTTCGCGGCCCACATCGGCGAACACTGACTTCACCGTCATGCACACGCCACAATGACCCTCCACATCCCACACAACTCATCTCGGCCGCCCGCTTCTCATTTCTGCTGTGTCATTATCTATGCACGCGAAGGAGTTACCAAGACCGTGCATGCACCTTCGAGCGCTCGAATCTGATCATCCACTTGTGATCCCGTCTTCTATAGTCACTGGCAGTTTGAACCTATGCTTCTCCGTGCTACTCTCTTCCACGACCCACTTCTGCCGGCTTCTTATAAAGCTCGAGGAGCTGAGACTTTAGTTGGTACAATACCAGTACCGCCATGTCCATCACTTGGCTTGTTACAGGGTAATCGAGCTTGCATCTCCAACTGAGCGTCGCCACCATGTCTAACGTGCGTTCTTATTCACAGTGCCAACCGAGGGATTGGTCTCGCTATTGTAAAAGAACTCGTCAAGAACCCCACGAACGTTGTGCTCGCAGCCTGTCGCTCGCCTGAGAAGGCTGATGCCCTCAAGACGCTTGGGAACTCCGTACATCTCTTGCAGATGGACGTCGGGGATTCTCAGTCCATTGCTTCTTCCGTCGATTCAGCGCGAGCGATCCTCGGAGATTCTGGTCTAGACTATCTAGTTAACAATGCAGGCATAGTATGTCAAGAGCCTATCATGTCGCTCCACTCACTGACGAACACGTATGCTAGGCAGAGCCGGCGGAGACTGCTTTCACCATAGACCCAGTAACTGCGTTGAGAATACTTCAAGTCAATGCTCTCGGCCCAGCCCTCGTCTCTCAAGCCTATCTCCCCTTCCTCGAAGTGCCGGGACAACGTGGCATTATCATGCACATCTCCAGTACCCTTGGAGCATTCCAAGTACCGGAAATCAACAGCAAGGCTCCATCGTATTCTATGAGCAAGTCAGCTCTGAACATGCTGGTGCGCCCCTTCGCCCCTTCGTCTTTCTCTCGCGGGTCGCTGACCGGGATCTTAGGGCGCGAAGCAGGCGGTCGAGAAACCGAATCTCATACCTTTCACTGTCTGTCCTGGTTGGGTCATTACGGGTACGTTCTTAGTGAGACATGTGCATGAGAGAGCGCGCTCAATTGTGGTCTAGATCTAGGTGGGGAAGGTGCTTCTGTTCAACCTGAGGATAGCGCTACAGCGCTGGTGAAGCTCGCCACGAGCGTGACTCGGGAGCAGGCGGGG